GGCGAGAGGTTTCCCAGAGGCCTGAGATAGAAAACGGCATAATTGGGGGCAGACGACCTCGGCAGCAGACCCGAGAGCGGCCAACCACCATCACATGAAAAACGAACAAAAGAAGAGAAACGAAGAAGATGAAGAATATAAGACGCAAAGCTCAGTCGTTGGCTCATTGAGTGCACAGGACGCTGCGATACAAGTGCGTTACGGCAACCACGAAGGCCTGTCCGAAAGCGACGACGTTAAACACGCGGCCGGGTACAACGAGGCTAGCAGACGAAAAAATTAATGAGTGCGTGAGCTCTTTCCTAAGAAAAGTGTGCTTTGAAAGATCTATTTGACCCTCTTCAATACAACCTGCTGAGCCTGGAGAAACACGAAATAGCTTAGAGAAAGGAAGGCGAAGATAAGGGGGTGAGGAGAAAAGGATACTGAACAGAAGGTGCAGGGTAGTGTCTTTTAGTTGAATATCCCTCGTATCCAACAAGTTTGACGCTAGCAGTAGCGTTCATGGACGAATTTTTCATACCTACTAGACGAAGGGGGCAGTACAGTCGCCTAACCTGATTCCTTAAAGGGCAGACACGCACGACTCAGAGAAAAGGTGCAGGCTCGCGAGATGCACACGCACCGAACGAATCAAGCAGTCGTTACGATGAGCGACTAGCCATGTTTACTGTTGGGATTCTTTATTCTTCCCTCTCGAAGTCACTGTCACTGATGTTCCATTATGTTGGTCCGGCCGCTAGTCGTCGCAGAAGTGGCCCAAGGTTGCGTACAAATGAGAAATACGCACGCAAGACGAAACTAGCGCCGAGAGAAAACGTAAGGAGGCGCGGCGTCTTTCACAAAAGAGCACACCAACAAACCACATTTGAACGGTAAAAATACGTCATGGAAGTGTCATAATGTTGGCAGAACGTCCGATGATGGTGACTTCTATGTGGGGCGTGATCATCTCTAGCTATAAGAAAGTAATAGTATACGTATATATACAAGACAAAACAAAATTATTTGCACTTGTCTCGAGAGTATATCGTACTACAACCACCGCTTTATTTCGATTGGAGATAATCTTTACGTGAGTATACGTAGTACATGGTGTCGTCCTTATGGTTATCTTTTTAAATAATTATACTGAAAACAAGACGATTTTTTTCCGTCCATATAGCTTTTTGTAATATAGACAAGGAATCACTGTATCAAACTTGGATTACTTACTAACCAGAGGGTGGTAGCACTCACCGGCTAACTTCTTTGTTTCAACTGCTGCAGTGGTCTTAAATTATACAGCAATATTAAAACTTATACGGCTATTGCTACGTATGCCATTAGGCAGATTCAGTCCCTGACGGTAAGCAAGATTTGTTCCGCTGAAAACCAGGGTGACAGGAAAGAACAATTTCTAAAAAAGGTCAGGATTCGTGTGTCGTCGAGAGTGTCGATCAAAAAACCTGTCGCGTTGCCAACGGAGGGCAAAGTATCGGCTGTTGGAAACGATCCCAGCGCAAAAAAAGGAAAAGCGTTGAAAAGGACAACCCGTACCTATGCAAACCGTGTGCTACGGAAATAAAAAAGAAAGTTCGCGCTCTATTTGAACAGTAGAAACCGCTCGTCCGAACCGTCGAAGACACACGGCCAATGTTACCTGCCTGTCTGGCCGAAACAGATTTTCTGTAACGGTTTTGCTTGTCTGATGTTCCTCCACTATATATGCTTTTTTTACGGAAGACCTTTGTCGTCGTATACTTGTAAAAACAGTGAAATGGGCAGTGTCTTAAGAGGAAGATCAAATATATATCTAATACTCGTATATCTATCGGGAATGAACGCGGACTAGCATGAATTCTCGGGTGAGATTCAGAAAAGACTCATTATATAACAGATAAGTTAGCTCAAACACTGTTCTCCCTCTCGCCCCTACTCTCTTTCTACTTATATATATATATATATATATATATATATATATATATATATAATATTTTCCCGTCAAAAATCTGCATTAAGTTATACTTACAGTCAATGCTAGGACTGAACTCGAATTTTTACACAGAGCTTACTGTGTCCTATGGTTTTATTATGCTATCGCTGGAATACCGTTTTAATAGCTGTAGGCAACGTTGGAGTCACGAACTTGCTTTAGGCACAATTAAAACTAGTACTCGTAAATTCGTTTGCATGGGGTGAAGGACCATTGAAAGCAGACGACGAGACTCCTAGTACGAAATGCTTTCAAACCCCCGCGGCTTTGAAGCCCATCAGAGCTCTCTGGCGGTAATTTTGACTATTCACTTAAACCCCCCTGAGCGAAACGATACGACCAATTTCTGATCGAAGTCCCGGACACTACTTAGCCTTTGCGTTTTGCATATATACATACATGCGGATGTCGTTGAATTTTTTCTTCTCTTAAATGAGCACATGGCCAGTCCTTATGGGACCCCTTCTTGAATGCGCAATGGTGGTAAACTGATATTGAAGGTAACTTTCGTGAATAAGGAAAAATAACTTTACGCAGTCGTAAAATATTTTATCATTTCTGCTAATATAAGTTGGATCTTGCAAACATACATGAAGGATTTGTCTACATCATAGGGAATTGAAGAAGAGAATGTAGTAGAGAGACGGGGCGAACCATAACAGCTTCATCGTATTAAATAGGGACGAAAAAAGCCTATGAACAAAGTCTTGTCAGACGGAAATCGCCGGGTGCCCGAAAACGGAAGTCCAATAAATGGCAGGAGGAGAATGAGACAGAGGCAAAGTGAGGTAGAGAACGGAGCGATTGATGGAAGAATGGCGGAAGTGTATAAGTATCTTCACAGGGAGAGGCCACAGTAATAGAGGAAGCCGAAATGATGAAGGGATAGGCATGTTATGTTTGCCCGCTAACCTTAGGGACACGTTCTGGTCTAGGTTCGAATCCCAGCATAGACAGACAGACAGACAGACTTGGTTTCGTGATGGCAGGAGCCAGCCGTAAAACTTGAAACACAGAGGCATGTTATGTAAGTGAAGAATTGGTTCGAGGACTGCGTGACGGTTAGCCTTCGCTGACGAGCTATGCTGCACTTGGAAAATATGACAACACGGAGCGCTATAGACGAGAGCAACTGGGGTAAGACTCGTACGAACGTAGGATGTTTTCTGATGCAATACTTGCGCGAGATAATACGTAGAAGTTGATATTGCTGACGTTTGTTAATATGATGTATGTAATGTGGGTGGTAAATATTAGAAAGAAATAGATACACACGTTCAAGTTTCTTGCGTCTGTGTTTCCTAAAAGGCAGACTACTCTCCGTGTTTGTGACTCGTGCTAGTCGTTACCTACCTCAGCATTCGCCACCGAGTATAGCTAAAACAAGAGATCCCTAACTACTTTGTAGCCAAACGTCCAGACGCAACGAGTGAATGAGCGTCCGTAAATAAACTGCAATGTCATAGAAGGTACATATGCCTACATAAAAACGTGTCAATAAAATTTTAATTAATAATAAATACATGGTTATCTAACAACATTTACCTCGGCAAATATTGTCATCTACGGGAGACAATCCATATTTAACTTATTGATAATATGAATAAGTCTATCTCTACCATTCGATAAATACAGTTAGATCAACGACTATATGGTCAGCCTCTTATATAGCAAGCAGTTATGAGACTAAGAACGCTGACAAATGGTACAATCGAACGGACAAATTTATGAAGGGACTACCAATCAGGCTGGACTAGTTATGGGTGGCCTGATTATATGGCGTGGAGCAACACTCACTCGACGGTTTCGTTAAGCGATTGTCATACCGTTCTTTTTAACATTGTCAAGATCTTTTACCACACCCTGTATATATGTTCAAACATTGATTTCGAACCGAAACTTGCATCTACTGTACAACATGTAAGGTAGACTATATGAGAAACAGGACAAAGCATGCCAACGAGCACAATACGTTTCAGGCCAGCAGATCAGTTTGCTCCGTACGTTTAACGCTCAACCTTTTTGCATCATCATTGTCACCAACAGCATGAGTGAACCCATAAGCGGGCCTGGTGTCCTACTAGTCGACAACCGTCGGCCGAAAAAGCTACGCATTGCTAGCAAAATAAAATACTCGGACCAATCAAATGTAACAGCAGCGTGCCATATAGAATGCTCCACAAGGCACACTTGGGAGAAATATCGCAGGTTGACAATTATTTCGAGCTATCTGTTATAGAAAACAGAAACAGACATATAAATCTGCACCAGCAGATCGACTTTTTGTTCGAGCAGGTCGTATCGTCTGCCACATCCTGTGTATTCACTAATCTTCGGGATACACACATTTTTCGAGTATGTGCATGATGCTCGCTCCACAGGCAGTTTCGTTCATATAACCTATTGTAGGTGTACTTGTGGCGACATAGTAACAATGGGATTGCGTATACGGCACGTGCTTACCCCATTGCGTACGTCACTATAGGGTTTTGAGGAAAAAAATGTTAGCTTGTATTCTGTCTCGTCACTTGTTTCAGTTGAAATTTTATGCCTTTAAAAAGCAACAGTTAAGTGAGCAATGGACCTACACCGGTCCGTTTCGTAATGACCAAACGTTGTTGAGTGTGAAACGAAAATTTGCAATTTCTAATATACTGTGTGTCCCCTGAACATATCCCAGAACAGAAGCAGAAAAGGCAACGGCCTCGGCGTGTATCTTAAACTTTTGCCCTATCGTCTTGCTAAACTACTATTGCGCTCTTCAGTGTAATAGTGGCGTATTACATTATTAGCTGGGAGTGGGACAGATAAGCTGAACCAATCTAGTTCTTTAACATCATGCTAGACGTCTGAAAACTAAACTGCATGCCGTTCAAAAGCGGTATTTGAGCTTTTCTTTCTACAGATTCGATGTTTGTCTGAGCGTATCCCCCTGTACACTTGTGTCAGGCCACCCATCGCTTTGTTTGTGTGTGTGTAAGGGGTCGGGTAAAACCGAAGAGAAAAAAAAAAGCAAAAAACTCACCTCACTGGCGGTGACAGCGGGTTCCGCAGTGGCAATGCCCGCCTGGGCTGCCTGCGTCTGTTGAAGGATATACTTGTTTAGCTTGGCGTCGAGGGCGAGTTCGAACGCGGCCGCAAACTGATCAGCAGGCCCGGACAACATGGCACTATCCTGAACCCACAACACCAAGATCATCGTATTGCACGCATTATTCAGGCACAGAGGTAAAGGGAAACAGGCAGAGGGTTTTTGGCGTTGAGCAGCATACCGGCAGCGCATATGGTATGGCCAGAGCATAGTATAGATGAGTCGGTAGTCCAATTCGAGTGGCAGGATCGTGTGGGGACAAATGAGGCGCAACAACGTTCACGGGCATTCACGAGCAGAGCATAGGAAGGGAGGGTATAATGAGACAGCGTATATTACACCATAACGTAATTAATGTGCGGAGATCGTTTGGTGTATAGTACAATGTGTGAGGTGAGGTTCGTTTTTATCGAGAGGTCCGTAGTAAGTAAACACCGTCAGGAACCCAGCAAGATCGCCGTTAGGGTCGGTCGATGATCGACGCGCATATGAAAGTTGAATCGATAATAAGCATCGGCATGTTTTGCACAGACGGTGGCAGCATGGCCAGGAAGCGCACGCAGACCCAGTCGCACGTGTTTGTATATTTCCATTGAGAGAAGTAACAAGTTCGTTCCGATCGAGTTCAGTTTGGTTCAGGTCATGGCGGATTGGGCCAGGAAAAGAACGCGTTTGTTTGACAAATAGTAAATGGGTCAGTTCGGGCATAAGGCCATATACATACAGTATTTTCCCATAGTTGATAGCGGTCGCGGCACCGTCAATGATGGTTGTGATGGAGGGCGTATCGAAGAAGCATGGTCATCAAGGCATCATCATCATCGATTGAGTCACCACGGAAGCAGTTGGATCGTTCGGGTTTGGAGTGGAGTTTGATGATTGATGATTCAGCAGCGAACCCGTCAACCGATTCATGAAAAAACATGCGACAAAATGACGAAACACACACACACTCAAAGATAGCCCTAAACATCAACAGATGACTGGCTATCTTCTTAGGGAAAGGAAAATCATTTGTTTGATACATACCATAACTGCTAACAGCTGGACCGTTTAAACAGAACTAATGAGGAAAGCTACCGCTACTAATGCTCAAATTATAACTCAAGCCAAATAATAAGAATAAAATAGAGAATTATATATTTTCCATTAAATTCAAACGCAAGAATTATTAAGCATATACGATAAATCATTATTATATGTATATATATATATATACATGTGAAATAATCAATTCTACAACAATATAAATGTATTATGAAACTGTTAACTTATACGAAGCCATACATTTTTGTGTTGTAAGTAAAAATAAAAATTACTATCATCGTTGACAAAGATAGTGATGCTAACAACAAAAAACGTTCAGCTATAACTGAAATTCTAATATGGCAAATACCCTATTAGTGCTATGAATATCTTCTATAGTCATTGCTCAAGCATAACAGTTAACTCAAGTTCGGACTTCAGGCAGATGACAAGCAATGGATGAAGGGTGAGGTGAGGTGCTAATAACGGGAAATAAATACGATAAACATGCGTAAAACGTTCATTGCTACGGCAGATTGGATGTGAGGGGTGCGTACGTCTAAGACACACCCTATGACCACACACGAGATGACACACCGGCCGGTAATTATGGCAATTAGATAGCGTTCCGCTCAGAACTTGAACGGAATTCTCAGTTTATTACCACATATCAGCCACGTTTTTTCCCCTACCTTGACTTCAGGTTGTCACACAACCAGTGGGAGCTATAGAAACCGAACTAGAGCTATGTGTACCTGTGCGCTTGTGTTTATAAATGATTAAGTTTCTACATTTGATCACCAAATATAATCATATCGACACTATTGTTTCTTTGGTACTATGAGCTAAACTGCTACCTTCCGCAATGGAACCAATGCTCACTAGTATATACATAATTCAGCCACGCGGTCAGATTAAGGATGCAGATTGGAGGACTTTATGTATTTTATGTCGTTAAACTAATAGAAGAACAAAAGCTCATGCCGGTGTTATATAGCCCTCGGACAATTTCACGAACAGATAGGCCACCGCCTTCAGCCCCACAAATGCATACTCAGTTCATTCAACATAAACTGGAACAATGTTGACCGGAGTGGCGTCTCCCTGCCACGTGACGTCAAGCGACCATTAGCTATGCGCCACGATAACATCAAGGTCAGTGCGGTATACCCAGTGAAATGGTATTTATGCGTTTGAAATGTAGATAAATCACACATCACTAAAATTAAAGCCCTTTACGTGCTAACGGAGCGATTAGCATTAGGTACCTTCGCATCAAGAATTCGTGTGTTCGAGGCGGTACACTGAGTGCTCCGTGGTTTTTTGGTAGACGGCGGCAGTTCCTACGTTGCTTTGGCTTCTCAACCACTTCAGGTGAGTTAGACGACCGAACAAGCAGACGCCTACATCGTGCGCGAGCGGTATTTTCCCCTCACACACCACAGAGAACCGCGTACTCGTAAAGGGAGCTGATGTTGCTCTCGCAGTTATTGCAGCAGCTAGAGGCCCAAAAATTGTAGGACCACGCAAGTGAAGCAGGTCTTCCTCACGTGAAAAATCCCGCCAGTAGAAGGTACGCTGGGGGAACATGTCTCTGTTCACATCGGCATTTCAGTGTTCGCCTCGGGGCGGCCAATCCCGAAGCCCTCAACACTATTACCGTCTTCACCACAGGAGCAGCAGCTAGGACCAAGGAGAAAACCCTTCCTTCGATATGGACCCAACTAGCCGAAGGATCTAAAGCCTGGCACAGCGAACAGACCAGATTCGCTTTTCTTGCTTTTTGTGGGCGGGGTGCATAGAGCAAAAAACGGAAAAAAAGCTTGCAGGAAAAACACGTAGTTCAATTTAGCTCTCCCAATTTTAGCTTCAATCAATGGTTGTTGGCACTTCACGAGCAAATCATGACAGCTGCAGGAGTCCTATGCTTCTTTCTTGTACTGATTACCCTAAACATTAGACTCTTCTGTAGCCCAAAGTAGCAATGGTAATTCTTGTGAAAGTGGCATACGTAAATTAGATTATAGGAGAGGCGATCCCAATCTAGAAACCAAAACATCAAAGGGTCAAATTGTAAGAGGAAAAGCTGTTGTTTGTTACAAAATTACAACGATCCTAGCACACTGTGCTGTTTTTATAGGCGTAGGCCATTTTCAGATCCAAGCTTGGTTAAAATATTGAATTAAATTGAATACTCGTTTATTGATTAGCTATAATTGCCAATAAATGTTTAATGAGCAATATGTAAGCGCACCTATGTGGGCATTTTTAATCGATTTAAGATCGATTTTCCAGTACAAAAAATCATGATTACTATCTTTAGTGAGTTATTAAGAGATACGTGAGGAAAAACCGAGATGGTTGAGTTCTGGCACCTGATGGCCTCTCTAAACTTAATTTCTTCTTCACAGTATCGGATTAGTCGTCGCGCACTACATGAAGAAGACGCTGCGCAACGGGAAAAAAAATCCAGTTTTTTGACTCGTATCCAGATGATTATAGCGTACTCATTCAAACTCTACTTCCTTTCCGCTCTCAACCCCTGAGTTTTCAGTTAGTATCAGACAGATCTCTGCGAGCAAAATAAGTGCATCCACCAATGCGTTCTCGATTTTTTCGTTCTTTTCTTTTGCTGAGCGTATAAAATCTCTATCAACTGTCCCACCTTTACTTTGATTCGTATCGTGTTATAGAACATTTTTGCGGTACCAAACGGCAGTCGGGAATTACCTCCATACATTTGCTTGCACAGCTGCTAAGTTTTAAAATGTCTGCTACCCCGCAGTAGGAACCTGGGGACAGATAATATTAATCGTGTCTTTAGTAACGCAAATGAATAAGACGTCCCGTCGTTATCCAATTCGACGAATGTGTGTTAGGTTATGTCGTTGCGCTTTCAGCCGAGTTGCCATACGGTTCTTGTGTTCCGCCTCTATCCGCTCCATTCTTTACAAAATTCCTTACATCACATCCTTTCCCCCACCACTCTTTTCGTCTTACGAGTTCTCAGCTTTCTAAACCTCCATTCCTCTTAGGACATATGCTGGGGTGGTTCTCTTCGTACCATAGTGAACAGTGAAAAAGGAGCCACTGCTTTGCTATCTCCCCGCAAAACACGCCGTTTGCCTGCTATCATACGCAAGACAGCGGGCAGGAGTTATCCACACGGTCGGAGGAGGCGGCGAGGGTGAGAAATCGCAAGGCAAGACCAGCTTGGGAATACAGCGAGGCTGGGGTTTGTATGGGTGGTTTGACAGAATGCGGATAGTTCTCAGGCTTCTCTAGTGACTTCGTTGCTTTCTCCGCTGTCGCAACCGAAAGGCTGATTGTGGAGTAGTCGAAAAGGAAGATAATTACCCCGATTGCAAAGCCGCCAGCAGTAGCAGAAAAGGCGGTCGCTGCACTGGCTTTCCTAGTAAAAGGTTGTAGCGCGCTCGCCGGTGGCAAGAAAGACTAAAGCTTTTTCACTTCCCTTTCTCCTGACCCCTGGTTTCTCTCTCTACCCTTGTTCTCCCAAGTGTTCCACCTCCGTTAGTACTCACGTCATCTAGCCTCTTACCCGGCCATCTTTAGCATTGTACACTAAGTCTGCTTCTGCTAGTTCCAACTGCTTCTCAGTGGAATCGTCGGCTTTCTCTGCCTCAGGAAGAGGCTTCGTCTGTGCTGCTAATATCGCTACCGCTGCAAGTTGTTTGTTCCACTGGAGGTAGCTCGGGACCAGACAAGCAGACCCTACTACTATTACTTCTGCGGCTGTTATTACCGCTGGTAGACGGGAACATTCACGAGCGTAAAGAGTGAATAGATAACAGACGAGCAACGACCCGGTTTCGGGACGACGCAAGGACGTAGCGTAGGTTGGCCAAACGATGTAGGTTCGACAGGGAAGAGCGGTCTGGGTAAACCGCCCAGGACAGGGGTCTACATAGTCCAATCTCTGGGCTAGGAAGCGGAATCCGTTTGACCCGTCATGCGGAAAATGATCCTGGGCTCCGACTTCCAACCAGTCATTCGCCCGGCCATCCGCATGCTACTCAGCACGCTAAACCCAAATTTCC